CGGCCTTGCTGGAGGATGTTGGTGATGTTGCCAAGAGGACCAGTATGTCCTGCGTTGATGTGGACCATCTCAGGTGTGGTGGATGTAGCACGGGTAGCGGGCGAGGGAAACTGCGAGTGGCTTTCTGGACAAGGCTGTGGAATGGTGATGCAGTGGTACTGGTAAATGTCATAAGTTTTGGTGGTGTCATTCCATTTGATGTGTGTGAACTGGCGAAAATCGGAGACATCCTTGTAAGTGAAACCGCTGTCGAGTAAAAGTTTGGCAACGTATGTGTGTTGTGGTCTGTTGGGTGCGTCAAGGTGGGCGGCATGCCAATCAAGCCAGTGTTCCAGCTGTTCTTGGGGAGTGCGTTGCTGAAATTGTGGAAAGGGCGCCAGGCCTTGTCGGGTCGACGCGACGAGTGGTGCCTGCGGGAGAGCTGTGCTGTGGGTTGGAATGCTGCTGTGGGTTGGACTGTCTGGTGCGATGGCGGTGGGTGCGCCGTCCACGAGTGCGATGACGGCGGTGGGTTCGATGAGAGCGGTGGTCACTGCTCGCTTGCTTACTGGGAGCCTGTGGCGGTGGAGGCGGTGGAAGTGCGGCAGCTGGCTGCGGTTGAAGTGGCGGCGGTGGTGGGAGTTGCGCTGGTGTGGATCCTGTGGAGTGGATGTCGCGGCAGTCGAAGGTGGTGGCAATTGTGCCGGGTGCGCGGAAGAAGTCTGGTCAGAACCAGGGTTGTCCGCTTGGATTGAAGGTGCTGTGGAAGGTGAGGCTTGGAGGTCGCGAGCGGCCATGCTTGGAGATGGTGCTGGTGTTGTGGCTGCCGAAGGCTCCTGGGGAGAAGAGGATGTGGTCTGGTTGAGCTGTGCGAGGTTGGGTGCACCAGTAGTGGGCTGAGTGACCGGTGGAAATACTGAGAATGGCTGCCATACGCCTTGGCTGTAATCCCACGGAAGTGGGGCGGGTTGGCTAGGGTGGGGTGGCAGGTGGGGGGGGGACAATTGGGTCTGTCTGCTAATCTGAGTGGACAGTGAGTGGTGGAAAGAAAGAGGTCTGAGTGGCAGTGTGTTGCATGGGAATTGCATGTGTAGGGAGACGATAGAGGATGTTGTTTGTGGTGGGAGGGTATTGACCTGGTGCAAGGCCTCGGCGTGGTGGAAGGATTGGGTGGAGTGGTGGTTCCGCAGGTAGTGTGTTGGGGTCAATGGACGGGTTGTTGAGAAAGGTTGTGGCGGGGAAACGGCCAATGGAGGTAAGTGCTCGCCGCACATGGGCCTCGGCGTGGGTGACGCGAAGCCGGTAGTTATTGACCAAGTCAACTACCTGATGTGGCAATTTGTCGCGGAATTCGTCGTGCCACATGGGTGTTTCCAGCAAAGTAGTGAAACGTCTTTGAAACTCTGGAGGACGTTGTTCAATTGAAGTCGATCGGTGAGGACTGCAAGAAGGGCTCCAGGGCGGTGATGATATGCCCATGACCAGAAACTTGTCTCAATGCCCTCGTCAGTAGGGACAGGTGCGGTCATGGCAGTGGAGGGCAAAAACAAGGTGGAAGCGGTGGTAGCAATGAAAACAGCTGCGGCGTATACGGAAAGTATGTGGTGTGTTCGAACAAGAGCATCTGCTTGATGAAAGAAAAGAAAAGAAGGGAGATCCTGTAAAAACTGGTATCAAAGGTGAGACGTGACCACATCAGAATGATAATTTTTCATGGCCGGGAGAAGGCGTCTGTGGTGTTGATGTGAAACATAGTGAGACTACGCTACTCAGAAAGCCGGCAAGCCGCTGTTGTATATGCTGCGTGGTGGGCAATCCGCAAAATGGCGTCGGCTAAGGTGGAGGTTTGTGTATCAATAATTGTCGGCGTGGGAGGAAGAGGTGGAAAGAGAGGTGGTGGTGCCGGATGTGTGGGAGGTGGAATGAGCAATGGATCAAAATCTGGTGGCGGTGCTGGGTGAAGCGGTGGTGGGTGAGAAAGCGTCGGTAATGGTGGGTCAAGGTAGTGGCGGATCTCTGGCAAAAAGTCATAGGGGAGCTGAGAGCGTGAGACGTGACATCAAGCCAACGGTGTGTGGTGGGATTGTGGTGAGGAGGTGGATTGGAGCTGGGTGGTGGTGGTGGTGGTTGATGTCGCGCCTGTTGGAGTCGGATGGGTGGCTGACCCGGTCGTGCTTTCTTGAGGATGGGAACGTTGGTGCGTGCAATTACGGGGTCGTCGCTGCTGGTAGAAGAAGAAGGAGAAGGTGGTGGTGAGTTTGGTCGGGTGGAGGTGTCTTTGCGGGAAGTAGTGCGATGTCGTGGTGGTGGTTTAGTGGAGAGGTTGCGGTAGCGTCTGGGAGACCGGAGGCTGCTTTGCGAGTGGCTTGTCTTCAGGAGTAGCCGAGGATGGTTAAGTCGGTGCTGGCGCTGTGGGCTTGGTGGGAAGGTCGTGAGAGGTAGACGACGGTAGGTGAAGGTGGCTTGTCTGGGTGGTCAAAATATGGATCGGTGTGGACTGGCCAATCTGGGGATGGAGAGCGATTCCAATCTGGAGGTTCCTCGTCCATGAGGAGCGCAGAGGCCGCTGATCGAAAATTGAGGTAGAAACAGCTGCGGAAAAGGCGGCAGTTGGAAGACACTTGATGGAAGATATGAGGTGGAAAACGAAAACGAAAACTAAAAAAGAGGGAGCGCGAAACGGAAATATAGGATCCAGAAAGCGAGCAAAAGGTTGAAACAGTAAAGAACGGGCGGAGCAGCGCGCAACCTGTTTTGTCGGAGCGGTGTGACGGCTACGCTTAGTCAAAAAGTCGGCATTGGACTGTGTGAGAAGCAGTCGGTGGCCTAACGTGGCGGTGCGGGAAAAGAGGTGAAATCTGCTGAGTCAATGCATTGGAGTCGTGGATGTAGCGGCGGGTTTCTGATCGAGTGGGTGACGGGTCAGAGGGAGAAGAAGAAGGAGGGTGGCTGCGATGAAAAAGTGGAGTGTCCCATGCACAGGACGAGGTGTGGCGCTCTCGACGGCGTGAGCGATAGTGCGCGAGGAAGGGAGGTGGTGGTTGAAGAAGAAAGTGGAGCGGTGGTAACAGTGTCGGTGGGATCCCGGGGAGCCTGGAAGAAACTGCAGGAGGCGACGACCTTGGGTCAAGTCTAACCTCAGAGGAGCCAGGCGGTGGAGAGCGTTCCGGAATTGTACAAAGAGGCGGTAGGAGTTGTGGTCTGTAAAGTGTTGTCGGCTGGGAATTGGGTCCAAAACAAGTGGGTGCTGAAGGATGCTTTCAATGAGACCTTCCAACATGTGTAGCATCCATTGGAGGAGGAGAAGTTCAGGTTGGTGACGACAGAGGGTGACATGTAAGGAAGTGGGTTTGAGGTAATGTGACGGTGGCATGCGCGGCAGAAGGTAAATGACGAGCGTCTGTCTCCAGTGAATCATGGCTGTAGAGAGCTCCTGGAGTTGCCATAGAGGCAAAGCACAGCTGCAGTGAAATGTTGGATTGACTCAAGTAATGAGAAAGCGACGCCTTTCGCTGAGGCGTCGGTCTTGGGTGTGGTGCCTGGTTGTGGTGGTGGCGGAGGAGGTGGCGGAGGCAGGTGGTTGGGACGCGGTGGATTCAGTAGTGGTGGGGCCGGAGCTGGGCCCAGGTGGTGGTTGAGGAGGAGGAGGTGAATGTTGAGAAGGAGATGGCTGAGCAGGACTGGTTGGCGTCGGATTGGTCGGCGTAGCCTGGCCGGCGTGGGATTGGTCTGCGGAGGGTCAGTCAGCTGGTTGGGTCCGGTGCAGTGGACCCGACCGCCGGAGTGGTGGTTGGAGGTCGGGAAGGGTACTGAGTGGCAGGGTGTAGGTTGGGGTGGACAAGGCTGTGGAGTGGGCATCGTCATGGGTGGCAGTTGTGGTGCATAAGGGTACGGCCAAGGAAAGTGCATGCTGCCAAAGAGTATCAACTCACCGTTGTCGTCAGCAGCAGCGCGATGGCAGCGGCAGCGCGATGGATCGGCGCCCTGCAAAAAGGACGATGTACACACTACGTGAATCCGAATGAATGAAATAACTAACTGAGCTTGAAAGTTGTATCAAAATGCAGAAAAGGAAAAGCATCCAGACCTAGTTGACACGTGAATGGAAAGTCCATCGGACCGTACAAAGGAAACTAGTTGCGCATGAAACGTCGTGAAAATGTCGGGAAGTTGGCCTAACAACCTTGAGGCAGTAAATGAATGAACTTTTGATGTCAGCATCGAAAAACTTGAGCTGCGGAAGCTCTGACATGAAAACGTGGAAGAAACACCGTATGCCCAGCGGCGTGAGTCTCCGTAAACTCGGCAGTGTTGTGGCAGAAGATTCATGGGGTGAGACACTTAATCAGTAAGTGATGATCCAACGCGTGCAGAAAAGCGCTGAATCAAACTGTGATCCACGATGGTTTCGGCGCTCCCTTGCGGGAGATCACACCCTGCGCCCAAGTCAGACAGCAGAGCGGCACACACTTAGACAATGGGTTTTCAGTGAACTCTGTTCCACGGGAAAAGGAGTGATGGAACGGAATGGTGGCAAAGTCCGCAGCCAACTGAATGTTGAATAAATGTTGCAAAAACGCTCAACGAAAGCGGCGATCAGCAGCTACAATGTGGAGGGAAATTGGTTTAGGGGAGTAGCGTGCGAAACCACCATGGAATCAAACAAGGAAAGAGTGGAGTCACAGCGTGCGCAAAAGTTCCATCTCATCAGTGCAGGTACAGGTGGATGATCAGTCCACCCTTCCCTCGTCATACCGTAGCTTCGTTGCGTACGGTGGGTATGACGAGCCGTACGCCCCTGCTGGATTAAAGTGAGTACTCTGCAGAACTCTTAGAAACAGAGGGTGGCACACACACACAGGGACACATATACACATCTCTCCCTCTCTCTATATACACCTTTTTGTACACAGACACACACACAGATATACATATATATATATACATATACACACCATAATGTATCATATATCTATGTTATTTATCGAAAGGAAGTCACAGCGTAGCTCTGGGAACTGGAGGAGCAAGAAGCAAAAGCCAAGCAAGAAGAGGCGCAATTGCGCTTGGGGGGATCTCCAGCTTCGAACAACAAATGGTTGTGGGCCAAAGGTGGGGGACCCTGGTTGACCACCTGCGCATGAGTCTGGCGCCATGAACGTGACTAGGTCAACCGGCAGGAATTGGGGGTCCAGGTTTTGACCCACGGCCAAACATTCTCTAGCAACTAGCAAGCTTTTGAGAAGGACAGCTCTGGGTGACCGAGTACTTGAACGAAATAGCACTGATTCTGAAGCCTTCAGCTAGCATACTGCAGACACGTCCAACCGGCCAATTGAAACCAGAAGCATGGCCGAGACGTTTTAGCCTTATTTGGGCAGTGTCAAGGCTTGATTGGTAGAGAGGGGCCCCCATGAATGCCCAGTGGCACGTGTTCTCTATATACTGGAGGCATTGGTTCGTCCTTGCCCGTTGAGGTCACAGCACCGGAGTCTGAGCATCATGTGTGGAGACAGCAAAGCAAACCAAATGGCAGCACTACTCGTCGCAGAGTTTGGAAGCACCAAACCTTGCCAAGAGTGCCGCAGTGGTCCGAAGTCTGACTGCTTCACATCGTGCAGCTAGCAGCTGGGAATCCCCGTCGGGAACGCACTGACACGAATTTGCTTGTTTGAATCAGCAGACCAGCGCGGACAAAATGCCAAATGCTCACGCCCACGAGCTGTTAGAATGCTCTTGATGCCCTGCGTTCTTGAACAAGAACTTGTCGACGGCAATGCTTAAGAACCGTAAGCCATAAGCATGGACAGATCCCAATCAGATCATCAGGCCTACATACAGAACACATTTTGAGAAGATGCTCCAGAAAACTCGCGGATGAACCATCGGCCATTTTTCCAACTTGAGAGTTTGTGCAAACACAAGTTGAAAAAGTCCAACCAGAAAAGAACTCATATTTTCTATGCTTCTGAGTCTACTGAGTGACTTATTGAGTGACTGTGGAGTAAGCAGTGAGGTCACTCCAGGATCATTTCCGCGGCAAGCATGCTTTATGTAGACTTCCTTCAACTTTGTTACTTAATTCGCTTTGTACGCCTGAAGTTTGGCTGTAGTATGCTGTAGTTATATATATACATACATACAGTAAGCAATTGGAACATCTTGGAACTGATATTTCATTTTTCAACATGGCTTCCGTGGGGCGAGTGTCATTGAGAGCCGCTTTCTTTTGCTTTCATCGCCAAGTTGCATTTAGTTCCAAAATTGGATTGTGCAAAGAATTGCGGTCAGCCGTTCCAATGTCACATGTAATGTATTACAGTATGTTTATAGTTGAACGGCTTTATTCTTTCGTGTGCTTTGTATGCGGCTCGGAAGCGCGGGCTGAACTGTCATATTTCGAGTTTATCAAGAGATTTTTCATTTGACTCCAGCATGTCATCCCTGATAGATTTGCGGAATAGTGCCAAGCTGGATTTGATGACCCGCTGTGGAGAAATACGCAAAGTCCCATGTGAATTTGCTGCAGATTGGTGTCGCCAACAAGGAGGTCCACTTCAGGGTGAATGTGTTCGTAGAGAGGTAGATCATTGTTATATACAACAAGCTCACCATTTCATGGCTGGATATTCCTGATTTGTGCATGGTGTAGGTGAGAGTAATCGACTCTGAACTTGTGAAGGTGGACATGTCCCAAGTTGACATGGCCTCCTTCTTCACCATAAGTTGTCTATGAAGCCAAGCTGACGCATTTTCCCCAACTCAATCTCAACTATGGCGTTTGACATAATCCCTTTGCAACACTTCCCTTGAAATTGCTCACGCCCCCCCCAAAGGGCCCCGGAGAATTCCCACGTTTTCACCATTAACCAAGTTGATACTACGCTGGGGATGGGGTGGTGTGGGGATGGGGTGGGGTCTGTTAACGTTCGCTTGCACTTGCAAACCAAGTTGATAGGGATGGGGTGGTGTGGGGTGGGGATGGGGTGGGGTCTGTTAACGTTCGCTTGCACCTGCAAACCAAGTTGATGCTACGTTGGGAATGGGGTGGGGGTGGGGGTGGGGTGGGGTCTGTTAACATTCGCTTGCACTTGCAAACCAAGTTGAAGCTACGTATGATGTGGGGCTAGAGTCTGTACAAACTATCATGACTAGTGTGCATGATATTGACGGACTGAGAAGATCCATAGTGGGTCTTCGGGATCAGTGGCATCGATTCTTGCGCCGTACGCGCATCCAAGAATACATGTATAGCTTTGCGTGGCGCTGCAATAACCAACTGCAGAAGTTGGGTCAGATGGCACAGAAGGAGTGGAACGCGTGAAAAGGAGTGGCACGCCTGAGGGAATGGAAGTGTTGGACGTGTGTTAAGGTTTCATGAAAAAGAGAAGCGATTCAAGATCCGTTATTTTTAACTTCCGGGTCCCCGAACGCACTGTCATTTCACAATGGTGTTACGATTTGAGAGGCGTTTTGTGGTGTAAAAACACGTTCAAAAGGACATTGACCTAAAAAAGGCACCGCCATAAAGTGCCAGAGGGGACGACTCGAAGATGCATGTGAGAACGCGCAAATCGCGCGGGGCCGTTGAAATTCTTTGAAATTCTCCATGGAACGTGTCCATTGGTCATTTCTAGGGCGCGTGAAGTCAAAGAGCAACCTCAGATGAAAAGCGAGGATTGCATTACTGTAGAACGTCCCAGACCCCCAGGCAAGGCTGGGTGTGCAAGCTCAGAGCCAATGTAGCAGACTTGGGCAGGCCCTTTTTCTTCTCGGGGATTGCGACTGGGTAGGGATAAGCTAATGGTCCCCATGGCAGCCTTGTGAGCTGTCAGGAGGAGGCTGCAAAGCTGTTGACAGAGATCGAGGAGCCCTGTTTGTGCACTTTGTTTCCTCATTTTCCGTTGCAATTGTACTTGATAGCGGGAGGAAAGCAAGCCCCGAGCATCGTTCCGGAGTTGCACGTGGGGAAGTGTCACAGCAAGACCGGGCTTGCAATTTGACGGCCATTTTCGATCTGAGGTTAGTCTGGAAAAGGCTTGCCAGTTGGACCTGCCCATTTGCAAGCTTCTAGTGACCTAGTCGCCTTAGCCGTGTTAGCCTAGATTTTTTCCATGTCCTTTCAGTGGGAGCCATACCAGAAGTGCAAGCTGCATCTGCTAAGCAGATGTAGCATGCCAATGTGTGTCACAGCTCATATGCAGGCCGCGCCGCCCGCGGGCTGCTCCAGCTGGTTGATTCAACGAAATCCTTGTTGGCTTGCCATGATTTCCTATCGAATAGGCAAACCCTTTACAATTTTTACAATTTTTCTAAAGGGTGTTCGAAACGATTCGATGGACCTACTGTAACTGATGGAGCACCGAGAAATTGAAACTGAAGGTTTAAAGCTTAAAGGATTCAGCACCATTTTGTTACAGTGGTTTCAGAGTAGATGGCACAAACCAAAGATGTCTTTTAGATGGGGATCCATATAGACAACCTTTTTTGGGATTGTGCCATCTATTGTAGAGAGAAAGCTAAGGAAACCGCGCTGAGTCAAGTCCAGACGATCCGAAAGCCGTGTGGTGGTCTCCACCACAAAATGTCCCAAGTGACCAGCTTGAAACGATGTCCTTCATCCTGCCTCCAGTACGCTCCACAACTGCAGCTCTGAATCTTCTATTCTGCAATATTCTGCCGGGTTGGCTTCTGTTCTTTTATGCCACGTCAACATTCAGCAAGAGCAGATAGATAAACAAATAGAGAGAGGGTTGAGTGCTTGCAACGTAGGGAGATGGTTCATGCAAATTGGTTTCGGGTGTGGGAGAACTCATGCCCTGAGCTTGACAAGCACGGGCTGAATCCTGATAGTAGGCACAGTGGCTGGAAAAGCCTGGTCAAGGAAGTCCATGAAGTGTATGGGCACAGGTTTTTTCCTGTAGGGCCAAAAGCACTTTCCAGCCAATGCCAATATTGTGCTCGCCGGTTGCACGGCTATGACTCACTGACGATTCATCTCCTCAACCGACGGAAGCCCATGAAAAAGCACCAGGGCGTTCTTTGATCGTGTTGTCCTTTCAGCTGTCACGCGGCTGCAGCATCAGCCATCGATGTTGCCGCCCGCATGCAGTTCCATTGAGAAATTGCACCATTCCGTTGTCAGGACCGGACGTTTCTGTTGGCAGCAGCTGTCCTCCACGGATGCATTCTGAAAAGGACTGCTTTCGGTAGGCTAACCGGCTAAGCCCTGATGTGAGCAATCGTCAGCTGGACGTTCCACAGGAGTGTTTTCTCAGATGAATTCTTGCAGCACAAACCTTAGCCTTAGGGACGTTGCTGCAAGCAAAACTTCATGGATCCTGGCCCAAGGACAGCACAGCTCCTCCCTCAAGCTCCCAAGGTTTCTCACAGCCGTGCAGCTTCAAAGGCAAGTTAACATTAGTGGGGGAGAGTGGATATTTTTCCAGCGATTTGCAATTGTTGCTTTGCTGAGCGTTTTGCCCCTGTGAGACTAGCTTGGAGAGCCTGCCAGAACCTTTAACTTGCCTTTATCAGGCGGAATCTCATCTTGCTCCAACCATGGGCTGCAACGAGCAGTGTGCAGCTCACGTTTTCAGGCCATTTTGGACCGGACCTCTTGGCAGTGTGGAACCAAGCCTATTCGTGATCATGATACTTCATTCATAGTCGTGGTTTTGGATGGCGTTGCTTGCAAAAGCGGGAGAGAGGGACACCTTTGGTTTGTATTGACAACGCCAGAGGTTACAAGCATATATGGCTTTGGCTCCGCCCTTGACTGCCCTTCAGCGTGCGTGTCACTGAAGGCTATCTCGATTCTTCGAATTCACAGGTCCGCATGCTGCTGGAGATCGCCCATGCTTTTGCCTCACGCAGAACTTGTTGCCTTGCAGCTTTTGGAAAGACTTTTGGAAAGCTTTTGATGCTTTCTAGGCAGACTTCATCCCATCGGTGCATGCCGTGGCCCAGAAGCCTGCTCCCAAGGGCAGCCAAGCGTGGGCTGCGGATGGCTGCGAGTGACATAAATGTCGGCTACAGCTAAGGGTCTGTCACGATCATGTCAAGCCTATCGAAGTGACGACGTAGAGTTGTGCGTGGGAAAGCGTTGGACCGATCAGGTTGACCTGTGAGAGACGGACGGGTTGACGGGTTTGTGTCCAGTTCCTTTCCATGTGCAGCTGGGAAAGCATGCTGCAAATCTTGTTTCCGATGTGCTGTTGACCGGTTTTTGTGGAACTTCAGGAACGCCTAATGAGTCACACGGATCGGATTCTGTGCCAGGCTCTCTATAGAGCTCCGTTCCGTTTTGTCACAAGCGGTTTTGGACCAAGCTCATGTTTAGCTGTTACGCTGTATGGCTCCTGTGAAGGGAGGAAGCCGCAGATCAGCTGCAACAGCTGTGCACCGCCTCATGCAATATCCCACAACTTCACCCCGTAGTACCCTGCATAAGACCCATTCGCTTGCGGTCTCTCGCAGGCACGGAAAACTGTTGGAAGGACACAGTCATGAGCCACCGCATTCACAGAGGTAACGGAAATGGCGGAGCCCATGAAACTACTTGCTACTAGTAATAGTACTGTAGCTTCCTGTTACTAGTAGTAGCGTCCTTGCTCCTAGTAGCGGTGCCCTTGCTACTAGCAGTAATGCCAGGAGCAACTGGTAGCATTCTGGCTGCTAGTAGCAATGCCCTTGTTATGCCCTTTGTTACTAGTAGCTTCTTGTTACTAGCAGTATTGTTAGGAGCTACTAGTAGCATTCTTGGTACTAGTGGTAATGCCCTTGCTACTAGTAGTAATGCCATGAGCTACTAGTAGCATTCTTGCTACTAGTAGTAATGCCCTTGTTACGACTAGGAGCATTCTTGCTACTAGGTAGTAATGCCATGTAATGCCCTTGTTACTAGTAGCTTCTTGTTTCTAGTAGCAATGCCAGGAGCTACTAGGAGCATTTTTCCTTCTAGTAATAATGCCCTTGTTACTAGTAGTTCCTTGTTACTAGTAGTAATGCCAGCAGCTATTATATAGTAGCGTTCTTTCTACTAGTGGTAATGCCCTTTGTTACTAGTACCTTCTTGTTACTAGTAATGCCAGCAGCTACTATATTGGTAATGCTCTTGTTATGCCCTTTGTTACTAGTAGTCTCTTGTTACTAGTAGTAATGCCAGGAGCTACTATATAGTAGCATTCTTGCTACTAGTAATGTGCTTGTTACTAGTAGCGTCCTTGCTCTATGCTTGCAAGTTGTCGTTGTTGGCGGCGGCTGTAGCCAACGATATTTCTCGCAGGGCACCCGATTCTCAGAGTTGTAACCTGCGGCAGTTCTTGTGGTGCTGTGGCACGGGGGATGTGGGAGGGCCGCTGCTCTCACATGCACCGCCCGATGTTGCCGCAATGGTTTGATGGGTGTTTAGATGGGACGGATCGCTTGGAAGTTCTGAAGGTGCGATGGCGTCACCTGTGCTTTTGAATCCGAGGGTGAGAGTGATTGATGGACCGGATCGTTTGGCAGGTTCTCCGTGTAGTGTGTATACGATTCCTTTTTTCCCAAGCAGCTTTGCTGTGAGGCGTTCTCAATTCTTGTATACAAACGATTGGCCAAGATGATTTCTGTATCGGCTGAGATGATTTTGCTCTGTCTCCCTTTGTCTCCCGTGGCTCTTCTTGGATGCTTGGGCTGAGATGATTCAATGATTTGTTTTCCTTTGTCTCGTTTGTTTCTCATGGCTCTGCTGGCAGAAGAAACATCAATCTGCCGCTGCTGTAATTTACAGCAGGGACGGGGAGCATCACAGGCTGGATGATGCTTCCAAGGTCCAAGACTTTTTCCATTTGGGGTTTGGCACGAGTTTTGCTTTTGATTCCCGTGATCGGCCAAAGGCTTCTGTCGGTGGGGTCGAGAAGTGCTCGTGAGTTGTACGCCGATATGCTGACATGGTCTTATTTTGGCATCCTGTACTTTTCAATGCTGTCACGCGGACGTGTGCACGCGCTAGCATGCTGTAATGGTGATATGCTGGCATGGTGTCACGCTGTCACGCTTTCAGGGCGCCATGCTGGCACACTGACATGGGCCACTCTAACATGCTCACAGTGTCACTTTGAGCGTCGTGTCATGCTGTTGTGCTGAATTGCTGGAGCAGGTTCCCTGGTTCTTGTTTGTTGCGCCGTTGTCATGCTCGCACGTATGCGGGCATACTCGCATGGCACATTGAAGAGTCTCACGTGCTTCGAAGCGGCATTGCGTGTGACATAGACATCACTGATGGTGAATATGCGGTGTTGTAGGCGGGTGAATGCGCAGCCGTTGGGGATTTTCCTGTGTTATGCCATTATGCCTTTGTTTACTTGTCCAAACATGCTTTCGTTTCTGATACATTTGAATCCGACTTCGCATCAAGCCTGGAATTGCCCAAGGAAAGCCATGAGCTCAATGCGGGCAGCAGCTGCACATGTGCAAGAGGTACTCCGAGAGGCTGCAGTTCTTCATGGTGTAGGACCTAGGGAGAGTCTGGAAAGAGAAAGTAGGGACACATGCTGCAAAGCTTAACAAGTAGGGAAAGAGAAAGAGGGAGAGTCTGTGTGTTGCCACTGTGTGCGCGCGTGTGAGCCTGTATATGAGTGCCGCAGCTCTGTTTGGAGGCGCAATCTGGCGACGATGGGGGCGCATGGCTGGCGCAGTCCTCACATGTTGGTATTCTGTTTGTTCCGACCTTGCGCATCTCTCTCTCTCTCTATCGCTCTCGCTCTCGCTCTTGCTCTTGCTCTTGCTCTCGCTCGCTGGTTCCCTCCATCACACTCACACGCACTACCAATTCATGATGAGGTTGACATTTTCTGCGAAGAATGGGAGCAGCACAAGGCTATCAATTTGTGTAGGGTGATTCTTCGAGCTTTGCCATGTTGTTTGTTGGCCCAGGCTGCCCTACTGCATCTTCCTGATTTTTTTGCAGACGCTAGGTGTGAACCCCATATCCTATACTGTATTTTTCAGCTCCGTCTTTCAGGATCAGTCAGAGCAGAATCCCTGTGAGCATTGCTTAGGCGTCTAGTTCCTGCTGGAGAAGGCTAGGAATGCGTTTTACATATATACATATATGTAGCCGCGCTGTTGTAAGACTTGAGTTTCCGCGCTACTTTCAGGTAGAAGCACGGGAGGAAGGTTGGGGGCTCACAGAAAGCTGTCTTTTCTTGAGATATTGGGCTCCTCAATGCTACAAGTAGCCTGCCCAACAGGAATGGGCAAGACTTGGTTAGGGCTGTGCACAGTTTGGTGAGTTCCGAGGAGGCCGTCTTTGCAGCGCTTTGGGTTAGTTAGTGCACAGCATGCGGTGAGGCCCTCAACTATTGTAAGTAAGTGTCTAGATCTCTGAAAGCTTTGAACAAACTACCACGTTCTCAGCGAACTATGCCAGATTAGAAGCAATATGAAGCAATTTAGCTTTGGGGTGTTCCAGGTTAGAAGTCTTTTCCTTAGCAGGCGGGGCAAACAGGGTGAAACGGTGAAACAGAAGGCTTTTAGATTCCTGGTGACGGTCCTGGTGTGGCTGTGCAGGCGTTTAGCTCGTGGCCTTCAAGGCTGCAGCTGCAACCATTTGCTTTGAATGCCGCCAGCTTTTTTCCTGGAGAGACGTGCTAAGCAGCAAGTTGCCTTGACTTCGCAAGGCTCCAGAGAGCCGCAACAGCCAGGCCAGCTGACCTTTTTAGGAAAACAAGGAAACAAGCTGATGGGGAGTGTGGCAAGGTCAGCCGTGCCCTGTGTGGCTCCGTTTCAGAGCCTTGGCGCAACTCAAGGTAAACAGTTTGCATTTAGACGTGCGGCCTGGAAGATCATGCCACGAGGCAACGAGCCTTCGCCTGTGCAGCTCAGTGAGGTCTGACGTGATTTGTCAGCAGGGGCTTTGCCACGCGTGTCTAGATTTTGATCCGTGCTGGCTATCGCTATTAATAAAGATAGTATTATTTCAAGGCTTACGCCTAACAGCCGGGCGCCGGCCCACTTGGGTGTGTGGGGCGTATGTCACGCCTATGTTGGCCTTGGTGGGGCCTATATTGAGCAAAGTTAAGCTATCTGGTGCGCATCTTGGCCCTAGGTTGGGCCAAGTGGGGCCCATGTGGTGTATGTTGGGCACATCGTGGGCCCATGTTGAGCCTATGTTGGCCTATGTTAGGCCTATGTTGGCCTGGGTTGGGCCTATGTTGGGCCTATGTTGGCGTCTGTTGGCCCCAAGTTGGCCTATGTTGGCCCTATGTTGAGCCATCTTGGAGGCTATGTTGGGCATATGTTGGGGATATGTTGGCTATCTTGGGCCTATGTTGGGGATATGTTAGGCGATTTATGTTGAAAAAATCTTCCGATACAACTTTTTACGATTTTTTCCTTCCCGCAAAGCAAAAACCATGAAAAAACCTAGGTTTTTTGACATCGCCAAGATGAAATTCTCGGCTGCCGAGGGGCCCGAAACCCTGTAAAGCACAGTGTTTTTTATACCTCACACACACGATACACGGTAAATTACAGGGGCTTCAGTGAACCGGTCGTCCCCCCGTTTTGGGACCGAGGGTCGGCG